ACTGGGAAATTGTACTATCAAAATTTTTCAGGAACACATCATGAAGCCTTTAATTTTTCAAAAGCCTTTGTTTTTGTTTTTCTTTTTATCACCCATAGTGATAGCTAATTCTTTTTATCTCCTTGGTATCGATGAACAGATAAGGCACTCTCATTTTCAACCTTGCCTTACAACTCTCTCATGGCCATTTCACTGCTCTTACTAAACTAAAAGTGTCTGTCCACCCTGCTTCCTGCCATGGCTGCCTCCACCTTCCATACCCTCCTCTGTCCACTCTGCATCCATGCCTAGCAATGACTGCTGTCTGCCATGTAAATGCCCTGCTCTGCCAGAGCTCCTGAACCAATCCTAAGAAGACCAGGCTGAGTATCGGGGGTCCCATTCTCCTCTGTCCCCTGCTAGTGATAGCAAGTATGAATTTAGTTAGCAAGTTTGGATGCTGAATTATTGACTGCTAGTGAATGATCCAAGCAGTAGATCTTAAGGTGATCTTCAGACTTTTCTTAGCACACAGTTGCTGCCTGGGGGCAACTGCCTCTCACTTATGAGGCGTGGGGATGAATATTCTTACTAAAATAAAGTATAAATTAACTTATAAGGCAATCTAAACAGGGATGATATCAATAAAAATCATTAGGAAATTACTATGGGAGATCAAGTCTTATTTTGAGGCTCTTAGTCTATCCCGATCTATCTCTGGAAAAGTAAGAGTCAGACAAGATAGGACACATACAAGAGTTTCCTCATGTATGTTGCATAGAAACTTTCATTAAAGTTTTAATACCAAATAAAAGAATAGATAACACCCAGAGAACATTTAAAATACATGTTAGGGTGCAAAACATATGAGGCTTGACTGGTTGTGATGCTTCCTTTATCATTTTATGCAAAAAACAAATTCTTAACTTCAGGGTGGAAGGATTTACAAGTAAATATGTTGGCTCCCTTCGAGTCTTTTATTGATATTATAAGTATCTCTTTATTTTCTCTTCCATATTTTAAAACCAATAGTAGCCCTATTTTATTTTTTTTTTATTTTTCTGAGATGGAGTCTTGCTCTGTCACCCTGGCTGGAGTGCAATGGCGCTACCTCAGCTCACTGCAACCTCCGCCTCTCGGGTTCAAGCAATTCTAGTGTCTCAAACTCCCAAGTAGCTGGTATTACAGGCTCCCACCACTACGCCTAGATTAATTTTTGTATTTTTAGTAGAGGTAGGGTTTCTCCATGTTGGCCAGACTGGTCTCGCTTGGCCTGACCTCAAGTGATCCACCTGCCTTGGTCTCTGAAAATGTTGGGATTAAAGGCTTGAGACACCACTCCTGGCCAATAATCATTTCTCAAATGACAAATGAAGCAGTTCCCACTAAATTTTAAGTCTTCTTTCAGTTCTATCAAGGAAAATATAGTTCCAACAATTGTTTTGCCTAAAAAGATTACCTTTGTTTAACTGAGCTTTATTTGTGATTCATACTCAATCCAGCGTGACAATATGGTAAGTATAGGTGGGTGGAGACAGAGTAAGAAAATCAGAAAAATCCTTGGTTAATTTTGAATCAGACTATTAGTACGACATCACTATTCCATTTTACACGTAGATTCCCAGGGCATTAGTTGTGCTTAAATTCAAATGCAAATTTAATGACATATCGTGTAAAATACAAATGATCTTTGAGACTGTAAAATAATAGACTATCACCACCATTTGTTAAAGTAGAAAATGAGGAGCTTTCAATCCCTGTACCTAGGACATATTATTTAATTTATATATCTGATTCAAATAAATTTGACTTTGAAATGTGTCTGTCAAAGAAGGGTCTACATATAAAATTCAGGTCAAAATAAAATAAAAGCAAATCCTTTCTTCCGATGTGAATTAAATGAGAAACTCTCAGAGCAATAGGATGAAAGAAAGATAATAAAGTTTCGGTAATGGAATTGACCGTGAAAGAAACCCCCCCTTTCTGACCTCTTTTGAAACACTGTCTTCTTTTGGCTTCTGGGACAACACTCCCTCTCACATGCGTCTTCTCAGTAGACTGCACTGGCTCATTCTTTTACTGCAGTCTCAGCCCCCTTTTCCTTTGGTTTTATCTTAGTGTCTGTACTAGTGAGATCCTTGAATCAGCAGCATTAACAAACCGGATACTGTCAAAGATGCACATTTCAGGCCCCGCCCCAGAATCTCAAACCTTGTTTATTAAATCAGAAACTCTGGAGCGAAACTCGGCAAATCCATTAGGTGATTCTGAATGTACATTCAAGTTTGAGAACCTCTTCTCTCTCTTCCTGTGAGGCTTTCTGATTCTTGATTACTGGCTTGGGGTGCAGTGTACATACTATAGAAGACTGTACTTTCCAAAGATGGTCACATATATATATCTACAAATCTCCTGTCTCAAAAGCCCTTTCAGACCCTTGCTACACCTCCATCAAGAGGTAGAATCTCAGCCAGGTGCAGTGGCTCATGACTGTAATCCCAGCACTCTGGGAGGCCAAGGAGTGCAGATCACCTGAGATCAGGAGTTCAAGACCAGCCTGGCCAACATGGTGAAATCCCATCTCTCCTAAAAATGCAAAAATTAGCTGGGCATGGTAGTGCATGCCTATAATCCCAGCTACTTAGGAGGCTGAAGCAGGAGAATCACTTGAACTCTGGAGGCTGAGGTTTCAGTGAGCCGAGATCCACGCCACTGCACTCCAGCCTGACAGGGTGAGAATCTGTCTCAATAAATAAATAAATAAATAAATAAAAGAGGCAAAATCTTGGCCAGGTGCAATGGCTCACGCTTGTAATCCCAGCACTTTGGGAGGCCAAGGAGGGCAAATCACCTGAGGTCAGCAGTTCAAGACTAGCCTGGCAAACATGGTGAAACCCTGTCTCTACTAAAAATACAAAAGTTAGCCGGGTATGGTGGCGGGTGCCTGAAATCCCAGCTACTCAAGAGGCTGAGGCAGAATTGCTTGAACGTAGGTGGTGGAGGTTGCAGTGAGCTGAGACTGTGCCATCGCACTCTAGCCTGGATAATAAGAGCAAAACGCCATCTCAAAAAATAAATAAATAAAAGAAGTGGAATCTTATTACTCTCCTCTTGAATCTGGGCAGATTTATGACTTGCTTATAGCAAATGATATACAGTAGAATTGAGTTTGAGTAATTTCCGAGAATAAGTCATAAACGGACAGTCTTCTGTTTGGCTTGTTAGAACATCTCCATTTGAATTCTTGAGCTACTAAGTAAGAAGTCTGACTTCCCTGAGTTTGCCATGCTGTAAGGAAGCCAGCTGCACATAGACACAATGTGAAAGCTCTCTGCTCTAGTCGGCAGTCCTAGACTTCAGGCCCTTTCTGGTTAGGAAGCAGACATGTGAGTGCAGGAGCCCTCGGCTGGCTCTAGCCCCATGTGGAGCTGCCCTCCTGCCTATGAGTTTTTCCTGCTGTGGCCTGAATGTAACAGAACAGAGTCAAGCCATCCTTGCTGTGTTTTGTGTACTTGACTCATAGACTCCATAAGCACAATAAAATGAATCTTCCCTTCCCATAAAGTTTGAGGTGGTTGTTATATATTGATAATAACAGGAACATGCAGTAATGTCCAAATTTATTTTCTATTTCAAACTTCTATTTAAGGTTCAGACATATGCATCCAGTTGTCTACCTGACAGCTCCACTTGGAAGTTCACAGGCATCTCAAACTCCAGACAAATAAAAGGGGAAAAGAAAAAAAAAGACAAGAATTGATGAGTTAGAATTTTTTATTTATTTTATTTTATTTTTTTTTAATACAGAGTCTCTGTCACCCAGGCTGAAGTGCAATGACACAATCTCGGCTCACTGCAACCTCTGCCTCCTGGGTTTGAGCAATTCTCTGCTTCAGTCTCCCTCATAGCTGGGATTACAGGTGCCCACCACCATGGCTAATTGTTGTATTTTTATTAGAGACAGGGTTTCACCATCTTAGCCAGGCTGGTCTTGAACTCCTGACCTTGTGATCAACCTACCTTGGCCTCCCAAAGTGCTGGGATTACAGATGTGAGCCACCAAGCCCAGTCAGAAATCTTAAAACACATGCACATTGCACTCCAGCCTGGATAACAAGAGCGAAGCTCTGTCTCAAACAAACAAACAAACAAACAAACAAAAAAACAACAACAAAAAAAGAGATTGCATGGTGGTACATAAATTATTTGTTCACAGTTAGTTGTGTTCCATGAGAGCAAGCAGTGTATTTGATTATTTCTTGCCATTGTCTCGACACTTAGTGCATTGCCTAACACACTGCATTGCCTAACACATAGTAAGCATTCTGGTATATTTGGAGACTGAATGAACTGATGAATTTCTAGGGAAACTAAGACAGTCATGATGTAGTCCAAAGCATACTGGAAATTAGAAAATGACACTTGAGTTCCTTCTCCACTCTGTCTTAGCTATGGATCTTAATTCTGAGAATTTTATTTTACAGTAGAAGAATAATGTATGCTTGAGCCATTAGCAAACTTTAGAGCAAATGCAAAAGAAATATGCTGTTATCTTTAACAATTTCAAAGTGTTTGTGATATCTTAGCTTTATGGAACTGGGTGAAATTTGTAGATATTAATGACATTATGCAATGCAAAAGTTTACAGTATCCAGGCATTTTAGGACGAAGTAGTAAAAACACCATAGGCCCCTGTCTGAACCCAGGCTCTGCGGCTCGGTGACTTTGTGATCTTAGGACTTGAGGTCACACCTCTGAGCCTTGTGCGCCTCATTTAGAAAGATCACAATACTACTCATGGAAAAAGTGGAGGCTCAATAGAGGTAGAAAGCAGTGAAAGTTATTTTCCTCTTTACACTTTAATACAGTTTGTGTGTGTGTGTGTGTGTCGGTGTGAGAGAGAGAGAGAGAAAGAGTGAGAGAGAGAGAGAGAGAGAGAGAGGGTCTTACCCTATTGTACAAGCTGGAGTGTGGTGGCATTATCATAGTTCCCTGCAGCCTCAAACACCTGGGTTCAAGCAATGGTCCTGCCCTGGGCTTTCAGGTAGCTGGAACTACAGGCATCAGTCACCGTGCCCAAATTGTGGCTTTTAAATATGAAGATAGGAACAAATTGAAGATACAAGAGATATAGGGACCTGTTCCATTGGTGTTTCTACTGTCCCTTTATTTTCTACCCCAAGCAACAATTAATTACATGGGCTACACTGGATTTAGCCCTCTGCTTATATGTAATATTTCTCTTTTCTTTGTTTTTCTTTTTTCTTTTTTTCCTTCTATCTAAATATCCTGGTAAAGCTTGCCTTTCTATCACCACCATCTTTTTTGCTCACCACTAGTGTGTATTTACAATGGGGAAATTGTCTTGGTGCTTTTTAAAAAAGTCATTTTGGAACAGACATGATTGGCAGCATTGACAGTCTGTCACAAATCCTCCACCGCATTTGAGGTGGCTTTCATTGATGGGTTTGTCTCTGTTTTTCAGTAGCAACATCAGATGGTAGGTCTTTTTAGACAGAATCTCCTCACAGAAGCATTCCAAACATTGCAGTTCTACTGGCAGCAATTTGTGAATTTATCTTTGGGGAAGAGTATACACAGATCTCATATCTACCGACAACACATGCTAACTTAACTGTAAGGTGACTGATGGAAGTCTTACCAGATTCATGAGTCTTCAAGAATGTGAGCGTAATTCTTTAACATAATCACTCATTGAAATGCTCTCAGATTTGTTCACTGACATAGTCTGAATTCAGTGATACACTGAAATATGCTTGAGTGATTTTTGGGTTTAGTATATTCTTTATATATATTTTTTAATTCTCATTTCACTTTAATGAGTATCCAAGACCTCAGTGTAACAATTAACCCAGCAGGTTTCATTCACATTAATGGTCACAATACAACCCTTTAAACCTTTAAGAAATATGCTTCAGATTTGAAGTTTGGAGATTTTTTCTTCTAGTTTTATTCTGTCATTGAAGCCTTGAGTTTACTTGGTATTTCATCCAGTGATTTCTTCAGTTTCAGAAGGTTCCTTTTAAAAATATTTTTGCGGTGGGTAATTTGTTCCTGCAGACCTTTAATTGATTCCATCTTTTCCTTTGTTCTTTTCCAAATAACTCTTGCATGCTGCCCATTGGCTGTGTAATCACTATGTTCAATTCTCTATCCAAAATATCTTCGGTTTCTTTTGGATTGGGATTGGTTGCTGGAGAATTACTGGGTTCCTTTGGAGGTGTCACATTTCCCTGCTTTTTCATGTTTCCTGTGTCCTTCTGTTGAGATCTGCACATGTAAATCCCTTCTTCCAGGTTTGTGAAATTGCTCTGTAGGTGGGGATTCCGTCCCCCGCCCCCGGGAGCTGCAGGTGGTCCCAGCCGTCCATCCAATTTCTCCGCATAGGTTGTCCGTCTGCCTCTGCTGGGCTGCTCTGACTCCGTGACTTATCGGCAGAATCCCGGCGTTCTCTTAGCCCGTCTGTTGCAAGCGTGAAAATCTACTGGCTCCTTCGGTTCCCGTCAGATCTACCCGGCCCCCTTTTGAGCCTGTGGTCCTAGGTGGGAACAGGTCCCACGTGCGCAAGTTACTCAAGGGCGTTTCCTGGAGGCTCTGGCTCCTCTTTTTCTAAAAAAAAAAAAAAAAAAGAAAAGAAAAAAAAAGAAATCTTACAAGTATTTCTCTGCACATGTACCCCATCATTATCCCTGCCCCCATCCCCACCCCGTGCAGTGAAGCTGGAATACTTGATTCTTAAGATTCTTAAGGAACATTGGATAATCCCTAAAATCTTGCTACCAACACAGTTGGGGCTGCCCAAACTAAATTAGTGTCCTCGCTACTATTCTTTGCCCAAAGCAAAGAATAGGTGAGTCGAGCCAGATCTTCCAGGTTTATCTCTATGTCAGATTGGGTAAAAATTATCGCTTGGATTTGTCTGGGTTTACCTTTTTTTTTTTTTTTTTTTTTTTTACTTTGTTTTGCTATGGAATGAGCAAATTCACATGCATGTAGTTTGTCTGAAGTTACAGATCCGGGGGACCTACTTCTCAGGGCCTTACTGGTCTCTCAGGGAGGGGTGCTGGTACTTTCATGGTCTCAGGCCGCTGCTTGGAAGGAGGAGTCCACCTCATCCAAAAAGCCCAGACCCATTTAAAACAATTTTAGGGTGAAGAAGGAAGTGATTCTCTGAATCTTAATCATGGCACCTCACCTAGACTGAACGTCTGGGTTCCAGGGTCACGATTTCCTGCCTTGCCATCGCGAACTTCGGCAGTGGAGTTTTCTCCGTGTCATCTGCCCTATCTGAAGTTTCAGTGCAGCAGGCCTGGCCATGGCCATACACCCAGAAAAATAGAATTTTTGAGGAAAATGAGTGAGGTAAACGTACGAAGCAGAATAGGTTCCTGGGGTATTAATCCATGATCTGTGATAAAAGGACCATCGAGAAAGTCCCTCTTCATTTTCAGGGAGTGATGGAAATAAATATAAGGTAGATGAAAGGATGCAATTTCAGAGTACGTGTACTCCGATTGGAAGAAAGGGAGAAGGTAATACTGTTAATAGAGAGTCAGCTATTCTGCCCCTGCGCAGGCCATCTTCAGCAAAGCACCAGCTAATTCTCCCATTTAAATAGCTGCTTGGTTACAGCTGCATCTGAATGTTAATGACTTTCTTATTCACAAAGTCTTAGATGTTCACCAGGCAGTGGCATCTTGCTTTTCCTTTTCATAAGCTCCCTTTTGACTGCAAGTATGCACAACATTTATTAATTCATCTCCTCTATTCAGATGCATTTGAAGCCAGTGTCTTCTTTCCCCTTTCCTTTTAAATGAAAAGAAACTAAAATTGAAAAGAAATCTTTCATCTCACTTACCTTTCCCTTGAATATGAGAGCTTTTCTACCACTCATAACCTCTTGTGGAGTTGTTGAGTAGGTTTCCTTACAAAGTAAGGCAATGTATATTGCTTTTAGAGAATAAAGAATGATTTTTTAAAATACTATACATCATCAAGTAGATTTCCATTAGCACGGTGGTCAATTTTATTAAATGGTATGAATACCTCTATTATGTGCTAGAAACACTCATTCTCCTTTCAGAAATACATTGAAAATAATTCGATGTCAATTTCCATGGTGATAGAAGAGAAGAACAACACCAAGAACCATAATAAGTACATATATATATATATATATATATATATATATGAGTTATTGTGGAACACTGAGTTGGTCCCTTTGTGTCAAGAGTTCTCAGGTTTTTGTTGTTATTATCATTTCATTACCTGAGAAGAAAAAATGCTTCTTATAAAATGTAGGGCAATTATTGAATCATATCCTTTTTTATATCTTGCGGGCCAAACAATTTCTTTCATGAAATAATGCTTCAAAAGAAGAAGCCTAATTCGGGTTTTGTAAAGATTTTAATAATAGAACGCCTTCTGGATGGAAAGGGTTTTATATAAGGTGTCAGTTCCTAAGATTCTCTTTACTTTGCCAAATATCACTTAACCATGTTTTTCATTGTTTACAAAGCAGAGAAACTATTGAATAAGTACTATATTGATATGCCTTCCTGTCATTCTTTCTTCCACTATTTGTGCCTACTTGGTATCACATGTTAAACCTATATGAAAATGGATATATTCATTATTTTTATTGATGCAGTAAGTTGTGAGGAATGTAATTAACCTATTTTGCTCTCTCTGGGTTCCAGAGTCACACCAAAAAGTGTCAGATAGGGACCTCTCAGTCCAGGTAGAATCTATGTCATGTTTTAAAGAACTTCACAGAGTCAAGACTTTCAAAAAGAGACATACAATTAGCCGAACATGAATGACCGCACACTATTGGTTTACTCTCTACTTTACTTTACTAAATACAACAAACTCAAGTAATATACCTGCTCTGGTCAAGATACCTCCCAGTTATTCCACACAAAAAATTCATGAAGAACCTGAAGTCTGTAGCCAGATGTATCTAGCGCACTTGTCTCCATCCTAGTCCTGAGTACATTCTTTGCTTTCATGATCCTGTGACTGTGTCTTTTTTCTTGTCTACATCCCGTTACCCGTCTCTGTTAAAATGGTTTCTTGCTTCTATCAGAACTTCTACTGCTTTTTGCAGAAATTCATTAATCTTCCTTCCTGCGGTGATCTCTTTCTTACCTGTGTCTAAGGAAGCTCAGCTTTGCGTGCTACTTTCTCTGAACATCGCTGGACTCAGTTACTGAGAAAGCTCTAGAGATGGCTTTCTCTCTGCTTGCCAGCAGCTCTTTTGCACCTTTTCCATAGTTAGCAGAAGGGATTTCCTTGTCTAAAAATTTCTCCAAGTTGGGCATGATTCAGAAATGACTGTAAAATCAAAGAGGGATTATGTTCCTGTGGCCACCTCTGGCTTTGGGATTTACTGCCACTTAATTAACCCAGGTAATGGATCATTTGACTGCCTTTAGCAGCTGCCTCTCTTCCACATGGTTATATGGGGTGCTGATGGAGTTGGGCCTTTCTCTGATTTACACACACACTGAGATTCACAGAGAGAAGCGCACAGCTCACTGAAGACTCACAGGAAGTTACACTGTAGAAAGTCAAAAATTTGAAATGTATATTAGATATCCTTCTTCTGAAAAAGTCTTTTAGCTACCCTACCACTTGAGATTTTCCCCCAATCGTTCATAATTTATTTTCTATTCTTCCTCTTTTCTTCTTTTCTCTTACCTCTTTTCCCCAATTTTTCAAGATTTCCCCCCTCCAAATTCCTCTATTTGGCAGAAAAATTGGATTATTCCTTTCTGTCTGCTCTGAAATTCAGTTCTAGCCTTCTCCAAACCCACCACAGTGCTCAGGTCCACTAACAGTAACATACAAGCCTGGCGAAGAACTTGAAATTTCACTTAATAGGAATGTATCTATGATTTCATATCTATTTTTCTATTGTCCTGGTGATAGTTTCATTATAGTTGACATTGACCTGAATAAAATCTGCATCATCATATTCAATTTGTGACATTTCATTTTGAAAAGGACTTGGCTAAAGTAGAGTTAGAGGAAGAGAAAGTGGACGAAAATGGATTCTAAGCAACTATTATAATTGATTTATTAATCTGAAAGAACCCACTTAAGCAAATGGAAAAAATCAGTGTATTCATCATTTATTGGAAATACTCCTATAGAAAGTACTTAATATGTTACCCCTTCTTAAAGGGTTGAAAAATATGAACCACATTCATTAACTCCATAGTTATGTAAACTGTTTGGTGGTAATTTTGTTGCAATTAACTCAAATAAGGCTTTCATTCTAAAAAAAGTAACTGCAAATGGAAGGAAAATCTAATTTGAGAGGACAGTTTACCCAGTGTCCCTGCAAAGTGACATAAAATTCTTCATAGGATAACACAAACTCTGGTTTGACCTTGAAGAGAAAGGACGCAAAATGCTGCCTATATGTTTTTGTGTTCAGCTCTTTGAAACAAACAAAGTTTATCCCAAAAGTATGCCATGATGAGTACGTGACTGAGCTTTCCAGAGTGGAGCCAGTTACATAGTTTGGATTCCCTTGAGAAGGATATTTGGTGACATGATCATGGGTCCAATTTCCTGATTATCCCAAGAGAAATGCTGATCAGCATTTAATTTATTTTGGGAAAGGGAGGGTAATCCAGTGTGTGTCTCGGGCACTTGCCAATTCTTCTGTCTGAGGCCAAATTACTTCAGCCAGCTGTCTTGGCCTTGCAAAGCATTTTGAGCCCTGCGCTGACCATACTTCACCACTGATCATTACCTCTGGCAGAAACTGTGCAAAACAGACATGACCTCAGGGCAGAGTTACTTCTAATGACATTGGAGGGTGTAGAAGCACAAGTTTCCTTTACTCGGGGTCACTATTAGAACCTGGAGAACTCTGCTTGTAACAATAAACATGAGAGTTCCATTTTATTTACCCCTGTTATCATCTTTTTATTCGGTAAGATTGGGCTACAACATTGAAAGCAGACTTAGATAGTTTTGTAAAAACGGATTTTTTTTGGATATGTACCTCTTCTCCATTTACTCAAGACATCTATAACTCAGTAACAACCAAGACTCATTAGTAAATGTAATTTGAATATGGTTGGAGAACTGGAGTGAAGAATTTGATATTTGTTCAAAATAATTTTAAATCTCTCCACATCCAAAGACAATGAGATTTTGAAATAAGACTAGTTGTACCTTTACTAAAATTCCTATCCGAGATGCTTTGAAAACGTGCCCTGGAGACATTTGTTCGTTGAAAAAATACTTATCAAATATCTACCATGTATTAGACAATTTTCTAGATATGCGAAATACAAATCACAAATTAAACAGGTGCTAATCTTTACAGAGCTCATTGTTTCTGGGAGAGGCAGCCACAAAACAAGTTAAAAGATAGACAAAAAATGTTCAAGTCTAATAAGTGCTAGGAAGAGAACGAACAAGGAGCTTAGAGGGAAAAGAGCAGAAGTCACTTTAGGGATGTTTGTAAAGAGGGTATGTGGACCCTGAGACCAAGGCAGAAGGAGTAAAGGAGGCAAAAGCTACCTATGCAGAGAAAAAGAGTAAGTAAAAGACTCGAGATGGGATATACCAAAATCAATGAGAGGGACATTGGAAAAAGATGAGGTTGGAGAGACAGACAGGGTTGGAAGCATGCATGTATGAATTTACAGACCAAAGCCAGGTGTTCGGATTATATTTTAAGTAAAAGAGAGAGTCCAATAAAGAGGTCTTTTATTTTTAAAATATGATTCCATTTTTGTTTTAAAAATATCTTTTTAAAATTTTTCACTTGAACGTAGAAAAGTTTGGAGGAGATAGAAGGAAACAAGAAAAGAAGTAGAGAGACCAATTAGCAGACAGTTGTGGAAACCCAGGAAGAAAGTGACTTAAGACAGTGGCTGCAGGCAGGGAGAGCAGCAAAATATTTGAGATACATTTTGGAAGTTGAATGTCAAGAAATGGCTAATAGATTAGATATGGGTGGGGCAGTAAGGTATAAAGCTGACTGCAGTTTTCTGCTGCAAGAAAATGGAAAGAAGACAGGAAGACCTGTGTCTTATCTGGGGAATGGCGGTTTTATCCAGAACCAGTCTGTAGGCTACAATAATACATATTTATTTCACAGACATTGAGATAACATTTGGGTCTACATAGGAAAAAGAATCTGATCAAGAGTGCCTTTCTTGTGAAGACTGGAAAACAAAGTTTTGGGGACCATTTGTCTCATTTTAGGTGAAGACAAAAGCTCTCCTTGACCTAACTCTAGCTGGGCTTCCTTAGGCTTTCAAGGCCCTGACCTTCAGCTCTGTACTTGGCTAGGTTACTCCTATTTTAGCAAGAATCCTGCTAAGTTCGTTTAGCAAAACTTTCCCATCCTTGATATCTGATTAAATTCCTCATTCCCTGACCTCAATAGCTTACTCTCTGGCCAGCCTTCAGCAAGAATCCTAAGGGGTTGGTCCAGCAAGAATCCCCTTAACCTTGAGGTTTCCTCTTAGTAATTTTTAATCCTCTGATCTCCCAACCCCACTCCTTGGCTGTAAATCTCCATTTGGCCTTGCTGTATTTAAAGTTGAGCCCCATCTCTCTCCCTTATCTTAGAACTCCGTTGTAATAGCCCCCTTGCCCCTACCAAATAAAGTCTGCTTCACCCATCTTTAGCAATTATCATGATTTTTTTTTCTTTAAAAGTGAAGGAAAAAAAAGAAAGCAGTCTGTAAAGAATGAGAAAGTATAGCAAGAACTAAGAATGAAGTGAATGAATATTTTTAAATGGCAGGAGGAGAGCCATCAGCAGAGAGCAGTGATGATTAAATGCCTCGTAAGTGAGATTATTGGATGACGGAGCTTGGGGAGAAAGATTTCTAAATCTCTGCCAACATGCCCGCCCTCCTCTTCTCAGAAGAAAAGCCAGTCTCTCCCCCCACAGGGGCCTTTCCTTCCCCTGTTCTCCCAGTCATACAAGTTGTGCTCTTGTTAAAATAAAATTTCTCTTTTACATTCCACAAATCCCCAGCATGACAATTCTATAGAAACAGAAACACTGTAGAAACATTTACTTACCTAAGGAAGCACTGCATTTGTATCATTCAAGAAGCTGAAATGGCTGCATGCCTTAGGCAGAAATGACTATAGATATCCTATAGAGATAGCATGCTGAGATCATTATTGTCATCCAATGACACTTGGGTTTGCATTACACCTAAAGCTCTTGATTATTTTGAATGCATCCCTCAGTGTCCTATAGAGCTGATCAACCTGAAACTTTACACACACACACACACACACACACACACACACACATCCCTATGAAGGGGCACATGTAAGATAAACTCACACACTCTGGGCATTTATTGAGTGTGACGTTTTTCATTTTGGATTTAATTCCTCAAGGATTCTAGTATAAATTTGAATGCAGATCTGGCTTAACTTACAGTGTGTATCTCTAAAAAAATGGTTAAAGCATGGACAACTCAAAATCCATGCAGATCATTTTAACATTACTTGCCTGCTGTATTCAATGTTTTTGAGTATACTGGCTAATATCAATTTCTTAAATAGTTGTACTGTACTTACATTTCTTATACTCTTAACAATCCAAAAGACATTCTTTAAAAACATGCTTCCGAAGTTTCCCCTTCCTCAATGTATTCTCTTTCTCTTTCTTTCTCCAGAATATTGGTGGCAACCTGCCTTGAGAGGTGAGAAGGAGTAGAGGACAGGATATCATTTCGGTACCCTTGATCTCTCTGGCTTTAGATTATTCATCCAAAAGTTATAACAAAGGTTAAGAATCGCTCCTTGGCCAAATGGTCTTTGGTACTGGAATTGCAGGTATCTCATGAACAGTTTGATCAAGCCATTTCATCAGGCAAACCCCTGACGTGGTATGAGGAGCTTCCTTCACATAATGCAGTCCCACAGCTATCAATCAATTCTCTGGGGTTTTGCACACTTCAATGGAAAAAATACCTAACCATAGCATTTATCATCAAGTCCAAAGTACTTATCAAGTGTGAGTATTCTTCTCTCACTGAATCAGGATAAGCCTGTAAAATAAATTGTTAGGGGAAAAAAGTATCCATTATCCTTTGGGTCTTGAACAAAAAGGAAAGGCTTTCTTGTAATAATCTGTAGCCGAATCAGGGCCATCAGGTAAATCAGAAAATAGGACTTTTGCAAAGGCTAGGGAGATCTCTGAAATAAATTTGTAAAAATTCAAGTTTTTCTAGGATTTGTTTTTCAGTTTCAGAACTCGAAATTCAGCTGGAGTTTTGAGCCAAGTCCAGAAATGATATTTAGAACTTTTCCAATCTCTGAAACCCTGAGGTCGTCCTATTTCATCCGTATTTTTCCTTTAGCAGTCAACAGTCCTAAAATACAAAACACAAGACAAAATGTGCACACTTTTCAAACAACCAAAAACTTCTCTCACAAAGAATATGAAACAGAAGTTTGGCGATTGTAAACATAATTACAAACAGATGCAGATAGGACTTGAGAAAATACAAACATACTTTTCATCTCCTGATAACAGTCACTCATCAGGTATTTTTGGTATCAAATGTTAGTTCTGTCTTGCCAAAGTCTTGCTTTCTCTCGCTTGACACTTTCTCTTTTTTTTGAGGCAGAGTTTTGCTCTGTTGCCCAGGCTGGAGTGCAGTGGCATGATCTCAGCTCTCTGCAACCTCTGCCTCCCAGGTTCAAACAGTTCTCCTGCTTCAGCCTCCCTGGTAGCTGAGACTACAGGCACGTCCTACCATGACTGGCTAATCTTTTTTCTACTTTTAGCAGAGACGAGGTTTCACTGTGTTAGCTAGGGTGGTCTCGATCTCCTGATCTTGTGATCTGCCTGCTTTGGCCTCCCAAAGTGCTGGGATTACAGGTGTGAGCCACTGCACCCAGCCACTTTCTCTTCTATATTTGATTTCCCCTCTCTATTTGTAACACTTCTAAACTTTAAGTTTTCTTCTGTATTTGGGCTTGATGGCTTGCTTTTAATATTATTTTATAAACTGAATAGCAATTTGGGCTTGATGGCTTTTAATGTCATGTCTTCTAATAAACTAAATAGCATTGTGTGTAGGTTTGTGTGGGTTTTACCTACTCACACCAAATGTGTGAGTAGGTAAAAACATCGATCTCTTTTAAGCAGCAATATTAATATGCCCACATATTGAAGGAATTTGTTGTTATATGAAATTAAACAGCGGTGACAATTTCTAGTTCTCACAAAACACCTACACAGGATTTCTTTTTGAATCCTAAATGCAAACATATAATAGCATCTTGTGCATGCTGTGTTTGAAAACTCTTCCACACTGGCTGAGTTGCAATTTATTTTTTCTGCAAGCTGAGTTGCCACCACTATTGTATGTATTAGAGAGACTGAGCAGAAAGTCTAACATTTTTCTCATTCTTATTGTTTACTTATAAGGATCTGCCAAAGAGAGATGCAGTTTGCATTCATGACTGCCAAAAAAATTAATTAATTTGATGCTTGGAGTAATAATTAGGTAAATGTACTTCAAGAATTCCATACATGGTCTATAAAATAAGACAAAGTAGCCTCTGCTGGCTTTGGATCTATAAGCTGTACTTAGTCACAAGACTTATTTCTAAAGAAAAATCATAAATAAATAATATTAAAGCTATGACCATCTGACACAGTTACGTGATATTTGAAAGTGTTTGAAACCACTTACCATAATCAGGGCTTTTCCAACTTTTCTAGCTTAGCAGCAGAGAAGAGTAAATATGAACCCTTGGGCAATTCAGGGGAGAGTCTGTTGCTCCAAGTATGAAATTTCTTTGAAGTATCATAAATATTCATGAGCATTTTGCATTCTATACATGTAATATACATGTTTATTTCAATACAAAATTAATATGTTCCCTACCTCCTTGAATAAAAAGATGCTGGAAGAGATAACCAACTTTATTCTGTGACTTCCAGTAGCTGCAGAGATTCTGCCAACATCGCCAGGGTGTATCCCAGGTGAAGAGGCTTGCAGTGATCTGTCCATCTTGTCACAACAACCCCTTGGACTATTCTAAGGAGGTAGCTCTTGTTATCCTTAGTTTACAAAAATAGGAGCTGGGGCTTAGAATTTTTAAGTAACTTGATAGAAGTAAGCTGCAGTTTCTCAATTCCAAGCCCCACTGCTCTTGTCATGGAATTGAGCTGCCTGCATAAATAAATCAACTTGTATCCTCAGTGCTCTCAATGGAGCCAAAAATAAAACCTCTTCTGTCAGCACCTCACTGCTGCTCCCACCCCCTTATCCCAGCCCAAGAATTTTAGAGAGTTACATAAGATTGATATTTTTCAACTGGACTGTTTTTGCTTCAAATAAGCTCTCAAAAATGTCATCAATATTTGGTAGTTTTCAGAGTGGGGAGCAGATATGGAAGGAAAAACACGTACGCATGGGTCTTTTTTCTCTTCAAGTTAATTCGCTTTCTAAATCACTCACTTGCTCACTCTCCATCTCACAGACAAGCATACATTCACCAAAGTGGTAGGCATCATGTTCTAAGCACTGTGCTATCAGATTTAGCTGCTCTCTGCAGACAAATTGCAATGTAATTGTTCTCTCTTCTTTATTCACTCATAGCTGTCTCATAGGCCAGTGAGTGGGATAGACAGACAACTAAATATGGAAGATGACACAGTGCAAACAGCTCTTTCATTGAGATATGCCCAGGATTTTATGAGAACACGGGAGGTATACCAAAATGAGAATGATCAGTCAGGGAGACTTCTGGGAGACATGGTAGTGAGCTGAAATTTGAAGGATGAGGAGGAGTTGGCTTGACTAATCAAAGCAGAGAGGGAGGAGATGTGAATGGGTCAGAAAGGTCATACTGGTTTCCTCATGTTGCTAATTCTAATCCCACATGGAATTAACCAGAGAAATAGGTTGAGATGGATTTGTAGGCCTGGTCTAGTTTCTATTGGGAAGAGCTCCCAAATCAAACTGTGATGTGTACCATTGGGGGGAAAAGGGGAGTGTCAAGCATTTGCTGTTTCAGCCTTATTCTCAAGGGTTTGTTGGAAGGGAACCGAAACAGATGATTCAGATTTAATTATTAGGACCTGGAAAGAAGTAAGACTGATAAAATGCAACACTGGCAACATATTGCGGAACAACAGGACGTTATACATTTGTTCCAGTCTTTTGTGTATTCCTACATTTTCTTATTTCATGGAAGAAAGATGTCATTGTATTTTTCCTGTGAGATTTTAAAAATGCCATTGTTCTTATTAGCACATTTTTATATCTATTTGCTACCATGATCACAATATCATCTTTCTTATTTATATGAAGTATTTCAAGAAACCTTTGATATGGGAAGACTATGATCTATTTGTTAATGTATTATACATAAGTATGGTTTGAATCTATTTTATCTAAACCTGTGCCATCTTTTCAACTGGGAGTTTGCATAAAAATGTATTTCTAGTGCCCTCAGAATACATGACATTTTATCAAAAGTGACCTGTGTGCTCCTGTATGTTTCTCCTGCAATGATGCCTCCTGGGTTTCCTGTAACAAAGAACCTGAAGCTTCTGAGAGCAGTTAATGTTCTTTCTTTTGAAGACTGTGAGTTTGTGAGATCACACACTAGGTAACTGAAACCTGAAACATCATAAAGGTATTTTCAAAACTCAGGCATTCTGTGAATGAGACATGAAATAAATTTCATGCGCATCAGCTCCCTGGAGTCTTGTCACAATAGATAAGGCCAAATAGAAGGATATGGCATTACTTCTTGTGGGCTACTGAGCAGCAGAGTTAATAACTGAACCATAATTTCACTCCAGGACATAGAAGCTGCTACATCCTGTCCTCTTTTGATCCCTTTATCCATAATAGCAAAAGTAAGAATACTTTTAAATCAGACAAAATGATGAATACATCCATCTGTGCTCTCCTATAATTTGGCTTAAACGCTTATTCAAAATCACTTTGTCTGGGTGGGCTTCTCAAATTAATCTCACCATCTGATAACTTAAATATTTCATGTATGCGATACATTGATTGGATTAATTGTCCCAGTTCTTCATCACCACCACCACCAATCATATTGGCACCTTCTGCATTGTGACTTAGCAGAGCACAGCATTCAGGAAACATATTTCCCTGATCCTTGATTTAGAGTTTGGCCATGAGACTAAATTTGGCCAGCATATGTTCACAGTTGTGATGCAAGCAGAGGCTTGTTAAAGTATCTTCCATTTTCATGTCTTCTTTTGCTTCTCTGACTTTGTCATGAGAACACGTCCAGGCTAGCCTGGTAGAGAATGAAAGACATGAGGCCTAGGTGTCCCTAGCGCCCCAGTTGATAGCCCGCCAACCACTAGACATCATTACTGTGGAAATAATCCACATATATGTGACCAACCCTGCTGAGCTTAGCTTACATTGGCTGAACCCTGCAGACTCATGAGTTAAATCTGTATTTATTGTCACACGACATCAAGATTTTGTGCTTGTTACACAGCTGTAGCATGATAATTTATGTTGTTTCTTTATATTTATATTAGTTTAGAATTTATAGCATAGGCATATATTTATATTATGCTTTTGTTATATGCACTAAACCTATTCCATTATCCTCCTCTGTCCTTATTAGCTTTTAAGAACTTTCTATAAAGGGACTTTACAAATCTCATGGAAAAATAAAATTAAAAGCTAAAAATAAAAATATAAACATTATTTCACAACATAAGCTCTGGTAAGTCAAAGACACTTTTGTAAGCAATAATATCAGCCATTTAGTTCATCCCTAAAAAATTGAGGGGCCTGGGAATTTAGCCATGCAAATGCAATATTTTTCCATGATTAACAGAAGAAAAATTGGTGCCTTTTAAAAATTTATTTATTTATTTTTGAGACAGAATCTCTCTCTATCGCCCAGGCTGGAGTGCAATGGCACTATCTAGGCTCACTGCAACCTCCACCTCCTGGTTTCAAGCAATTATCCTGCCTCAGCCTCCTAAGTAGCAGGAGTTACAGGTATCCACCACGCCTGGGTAATTTTTATATTTTTGATGGAGATGGGGTTTCACCAGGTTGGCTAGACTGGTCTCAAACTCCTGACCTCAAGTGATCCTCCTGCCTTGACCTATCAAAGTGCTGGGATTACAGGCATGTGCCACCACACCCAGCTAAAGTTTTGTTTTGTTTTGTTTTGTTTTGTTTTGTTTTGTTTTAGGAATCAAAAAGAAGTCAGAAGGAGCCAAATTAGGACTGTAAGGTAGTGCCTAATGATTTCCCATTGAAACTCTTGGAAAATTCTTGTTTGGTGAGATAAATAAGCATTGTGGTGGTAGAGAGGGACTCCGGTGAAGACTTCCTGGGTATTTTTCAACTCAACATTTGGCTTTCTCAAAACACTCTCATAAATAAGCAGATGCTATCATTTTTTGGCCCCTCAGAAAACCAACAGCAAGATGCTTGAGCATGCCAAGACACTGCTGTTATGACCTTTGATCTCGATGAGTCTGCTTGTGTTTTGACTGGGCCACGCCCACTTCTTGGTAGCCATTGCTTAGATTGTGCTTTGTCTTCAGGATTGTACTGGTAAAGCCGTGTTTCATTTCCTGTTATAATTCTTTCAAGAAATGCTTCATGATCTTGATTACCCCTTGTGTAAAATGTCCACTGAAAGCTTTTGTCTGCAGCTGATCTGGGCACAACATTTCTGGCACCCACCAAGTGGAAAGTTGGCTCAACTTTAATTTTTTTGTCAGAATTGTATAAGCTGAGTCAATTGAGACATCTATGGTGTTGGCTATTGGTACTGCTATTAATAATTGGTCCTCTTCAATGAGGGCACAAACAAGATTAATTTTTTTCCTTGCAAATTGATGTGAATGGCATGCACTTTGAGCTTTATCTTCAACATTGTCTTGTCCTTTCTTAAAACCAGTTATCATTTGCAAAATGCTGATTTTTTTGGGTCATTGTCTTCATAAATTTTTTTGTAAAGCATCAGTGATTTCACCATCCTTTTCCCCAAGCTTCACTTTAAATTTGGTATTTGTTCTTTTTTCAGTTTTAGCATATGACGAAAGCATAATATAAATATATATGTGCACTATACCTATCATGTTGCTCTGATAAGGGCTCCTTTCAAACTGATGTCTTACTCTTCTTAGTGCCTCAAACCAGATCCTGTTCAGATATGTTATAACAAGTTAGTACAAGTTTATTTTGGTACAAAACAATTTGAGATCCACGCATAGGTTTTTCATAATACACATTTTTCATGAACATTTTAAAGACCCTTCGTATTTGAAATTCTACAATATCACACAGTTCTTTGCCTCCTCCTCCCAAAATAATTATGTGGACTGAGGTTGCGTATCTATTCTAAGAACAGACAAGCCATTGCCTGGCTGACAGCTAATCAGATTCCATGTCTAATATGAAGAAAAAAAAATGAATTAAGTCAGCTAAGATGCTTGCTGAAGCTAATGCAGCGGCTGAGAGAGAGGGATGCTAGTCATGGTGAACCATGTGCGTGGTTACTTAGTAGATAAAGAAGGTTGTGAAAGAGAAGCTAATATATCAGATAAAGCATAGATGAGAAATCTTGTGGCTATTAAAAAAACATCCAGGATGGCTTGTGCCTTAATGCTCTCTTGTCTCTAGGTCTGGCTTTTTATAAGCATGACCATGAGTTCAATCTTTGACTCTAAGAGATTCCCTTCACCTTCAGTGATCAGCCAGATTTCACTTTCTCTACTTT